AGGTCGATGCGCTCGTCCCATGCAGCCTTGTTGGCGGCAGGCGAGGCGGGCTGGGTGTCGCAGGCGACGAGGCGCTCGTAGCGCTCCGGGTGGCGCAGGGCAAACGAGAGGGCGGTGGCGCCGCCCTGCGAGACGCCGATGACGGCGTAGGCCTTGGGCACCGAGAGCGAGTCGAGCAGGTAGGCGACGTCGTCCGAGAGCTGGGCCACGGTGCAGGGCTCTGCGGGGACCGACGAGCTGCCGTGACCGCGCTGGTCATAGGTGAGGATGTTGAATCGCTGCGCCAGCGTGGGCAGGACGGCGTCCCACATGGTGAGGTTGGTCATGAGCGAGTTGATGAGGACGATCCAGGGCGCCGACATGGAGTGGAAGTGGACACGGGTCGAGAGGAGCTGTCCGTCGGGCAGCTGGACCAGGCCGCGGCCCGCCGTCGACGACGACGACGAGGCGGAGCTGCTGCCGCTGGCGGTCGCGGGAGTGGGGTAGGACAGCTTGGGTGCGGCGGACGCGGCGGCGGCATCGGCTCCGGGCACGGGAACGGGCAGGTTGGCCCTGTCGTCGACGTCGAGGGCTACGAGGAAGCGCGAGACCATGTTGTAGACGGCGCAGGTGAGAGTGGCCTCTGTGACTTTGCGGTTGACGAGGTCGTCGCCCTCGAAGCCGTCGACGGTTTGTGTGGCGCCGCCCTGCTTGACTTCGTCTGCGAAGAGGGCGCGGACCTTGTCAAAGGTGGCGTCGGGCACTTTTACGTTGCAGGTCATCGAGTCTGTGAGCTCGAGGGCGGCCTTTTGGAGGGGCGAGAGGACGGTGGATGCCGAGAGCGGGGTGCGGAGGTCGCCGACGGCGTGGAGCTGCTGGTCGGTGACGCCGGCGTTGCGTGCGACGGGCTCGTGCTGGATCCACTCAAAGTTTGCGCGGTTGTGTGCTGCGACGCGAAGGATCTGCGGTGGGGAGGGGGGCCAGGTTGGGAGAAAGGCTAGGGGATGAGCGTAGGGCAAGCGAGGCGAGCGGGAAGGCGGGGCAGACTGACGATGAGTTCGCGGAGGTCGTCCTGGATCGAGTTTTTTGTCCTTGTCGCGCCGAGGAGGACGTTCCAGCCGTTTGCGATTGCGGGAGCGTTGAGGAGCATGCCGTCGAGCGGGGTGAGGCCACGGGCGGGGCCGCGTCGCTCTCGGATGGCATCCGCGATGGGGTCGACGCCCGGCGCGGGGTAGCGGTAGGGGATGCGCGGCATGGCGGGTGGGTGGGAAAGGGCGATGTTGGTGGTGGCAGTGGTGGGGTTGCGATGGCGGTTGGTGGTGATGGTGGTGAGTGTTGGTGGTGGGGATGAGGACAACGAGGGCGGGCGTGTGGGGTGCACAGACCGGCTGCCAAACTGCGCCCGCTGGAAATCGAGGAGGAGGCGACCGAAAAGCTCAAGGCGCCGAGTGGAGGAGGGTGCGGACCCCCTCGGGCGGATCAACGTGCAACCGGCTGGGCGTCACTCGCTGCCTGCCTAGCTGCCTCCCTTTGGCCCGGCGCATGCGCCTTTGGCCCCTGCGCCCCGCCCTCGCTGCCGTCAACTCCGGATGGCCCTCGCTTGGCCGGGCCTTTTTGCCGCCTTTGGTGCCAGCGCCCTGGCCTGGCTGGCCTACGGTAGCTCGTCGTCGATGGTGCCTCGTCGCTCGCTCGCAACGACGAGCGGGCAGGCGGCGTGTGCATGGTACAGTCTTGCCTCAACAGCACTTGTATAGCCCCCCCACACCGGTCAACCTCTTGCGCTGCTGGGTTGGCTACACCGGCCGGGAGGGCCCGACGCGCGGCAACGACGGAAGGGCAGGCGTAGCCAGGGCGAGCTAGACGGCCTGGCAAGCGCGGGAAGAACCTTGATCCGCAGGCAGGCTAGGGCCAACCGCCCCGACCCGCGCCCCCGTCGCTCGACAAGTTTTGCAAAAGCGAGACAGCACGGCGACAGACGAGCCAGAAGGCGTCCCGGCCTGCCTTTGGGCGCTCAGTCCGGTGACGAACGTCGGCTCTCCCCGCACCACAGGAAGGCGGGCGCCCTGCCGCCACGGACCGCCTTCCGACCAAAGCAAGCCCCGACCAAGCGGGGACCATAGTTCTGCCGCTCCTTTGCGGCGGGCAGCGGCGGCGACGCCCTAAGCTTCTTCTGGCCCGCCCAGGTTGGCCGGCCGGCCGTGTCAGGCCTATCATCGTGTCCGCATTGCCAGACAGCGCGGGCCTGCCGTCGGTCGGTCGGTATAAGACCGAGCCCCCTTTCCCTCGCTCGCCCACCGGGCCTTTTCCTCGCCTCCCTTCGTCTTCGCCTCCATCCACGCTCCCCCTCGCTCTCCGGCCCCCCTTCCGCGTCTATCTATCCGCATCCGCTTCCGCCCATCCTAGAGCTACCCACACGGCCGGCGACCACGCCAACGGCAACGACCACGGCCACAACGACCACGACCACGGCCACGACCGCTACGGCAACGACCACCCCTCACCCTCCCACGACGCCGCCATGAAGTTCGTCGCCTCGCTCTCTGCGGCCGCCGCCGCCCTGGGCGCGCTCGCCATGCTGCCCACCACGTCGGCCCACGGGCCCGAGACGCGCGAGGAAGTCGTCAAGTTCCTCGACCAGCAGGCCACCGCCTACCACTGCGCACCTGCCGTCGCCGCCTACACGGCCGCCCGCAAGCGCTCCTGGGCCCAAAAGGTCCTCGGCGGCGCACCCATCGCAGACCAGAACCGCTTCATCGACGGCTACTTCGAGGCAAAGGGCCTCGACGGCGAGGTCGTCAAAAAGGGCATCAAGGAGCTCGAAGAGGAGGGCAAGCGCATCATGGCGTGCGACCCCGTCGTCGAGTCCAAGATCCGCAACTCGACCTGCGTCCTGGCGCCCCAGTCGACCGAGGGCCCCTACTACCACACCGAGGCCCACCCCATCCGCAGCAACATGGCCGAGTGGCAGCTCGGCCTCCACTTTGAGATGGACGTCGGCGTCATCGACGTCGAGACCTGCGAGCCCGTGCCCAACATCCTCGTCGACCTCTGGCACGCCAACGCCACGGGCCACTACGCCGGCCACCCGGAGCCCGCGCCGCACCTGCGCGACGAGAAGCCCGCCGCCTCGGGCCTGCGCCGCGGCCTCCTGTCGGCCTACCCGCGCACCAACCACGTCGACACCTTCCTCCGCGGCGCCCTCCCCACCGACCAGAATGGCGTCGCCCACTTTGTCTCGACCTTCCCCGGTTACTACACCGGCCGCGCCACCCACGTCCACATCAAGGTGCACAACGAGTGGAGCGTGCTGCCCAACGGCAGCTTCACCTCGGGCAACCTCGTCCACACGGGCCAGTTCTTTTTCGACGACGACCTCAACGAGTCGATCGACAAGCTGTGGCCCTACAACACCAACCCCATCATCGCCCTCGGACGCACCCGCACCCGCAACTGGGAGGACTCGCTGCAGATCTACCAGGACGCCCACGACAACGGCTACATGCCCACCTTTGACGTCGAAAAGATTGGCGGCGTACTCCAGGACGGCCTCGTCGGCTACATTACCGTCGGCGTCAACACCAGCGCCAGCTACAAGCCCGTGTGGAACCCCAACAGCGGTCGCGCCGGCGGCGTCGTCGAGCAGAAGCCCATCGACAAGGCCACCCACGAGGAGCTCTAGACAGAGGCAGCCTGGCGAGCTCGGGGTGGGCAACGACACCGGAAGAGGACGAGACGCGGGCACGCACGACGGTCTCACGCAGTAGATGCGACGCCCAGATCCGTCTCGACGATGGAGGCGATGGGAACCTCAAGAACGACAGCGCGGAGGATACGGATCCCCAGCCCCTCTGTCACCGCACTGCTCCCTCGCCTCGCCCCACCTCGGCCCGACTCGCCTCATCGCCCCCAACCCTCAGACGATCCCAGCTCCCCAAGACCCGCTCGCAGCCCCGCCTCATCCTGTATGTTTATCTATCTATCCAATCGTCATCGCATCGCATCCATTCGCAGTCCTCTCTTTCCCTCGGTCTCTCCCTGTCTCTGTCTCTCTGTCTCTCTCTGTCTCTCTCTGTCTCTGTCTCTCTGTCTGTCTCTGACTCTCTCTGTCTCTGTCTCTCTGTCTGTCTCTGTGTCTTGTTTTTTCAGGGAGAGGGTACACCTGTGTGCAGGACGACCGCTATCCGCACAGCCCTGATCCGATGGCGCGGGAGTCGAAGAAAGCCGAGGGACAGACGACGACGACGACGACGACGATGAAGACGACGATGAAGACGACGACGATGAAGACGACGATGAAGACGAAGATGCGAGTGCGAGTGCGAGCGCGAGCTAGGGTGGGAGAGTGGTGGCGACGCCCGAGATGACGAAGAGCGAAAAGAAACAAGGTGGACTGATGACGACACGCGCTCGTTTGTTGGGCAGGGCGCAGACGAGGATCCGAACACGACGACGACGACGACGACGATGATGACGGTGACGACGGCGGGGGGAAGGAGGACTAGCTGTCGAGAAGAGCGTGCTCGGAGGGACCAAACGAGCGAGCGGTCGAGCAAGGGGGGGCAAGGAGCGAGCGCGAAAGAGGCGTCTCGACGCTATCCGCAAGTCGTGGAGATCCAATTGGACTCGTGACGACGATTTGAGAGTGGCGACCGGCGGGCGACGAGAGGGATGCCGCCTGCTGAGCTCGCCGGCGCGGCGAACGCGGCATCGAGCCGTGCAGGACCCCGCTCAGGCGTCGTGCTTGACAGAAGCGTCGTGAAGGGACTGGCGGTGCACCGTCCTTTCGGCGAGGTCGAGAATCTTGCTGAAGCAGCGTCGGTAGTCGTCCATCTTCTCGAGCAGGTTCCGCAGCAGCGTTGCCGTGGTGCGGTCCTCTCGGTCCAGCCTGTCGATGCGTACTTGCATTGGCGCGACGGACTCAATTTCGCACCCGTTCAGGACGGTCGAGAAGGCTTCGTAGAGCACCTCGCCCAGTCCCGGTTCGCGGCGGTGCAGGTCCATGAACACGTCCCTGCCACGAGATGTGAGCATCACCTCGAGGCTGCCGTTGTCGGAATTGGTGCGGATCGTGCAGACCGTGCGGTCATCGGGCTCGGTGGACGTGTCCGACGACGACGCCGGCTGCGGGACTAGGGCGCTCGACATCCCTGCGAGCTTGGACTGCGAGTACCTTAAGAGGGCGCTGGATAGACAAGGGTGCGGGGACAGCGACGGGTCTCGAGTCAGCTCGCTTTCCGTCGCGGCGCGCACCGCCATGCTGGGACGGACTGGCAAGCCTACACTGACTCACGGTTGGGGCACGCGAGCGTCACGGCGGCGTGGCGTGGCCAGATGAAGTCGGCGAGAACCTGCACAGATCGACGGCAAGGCTGAAGGGGCAGAGCGAGAGGACGAGCCGTGCTGCGAGCGGGTCAGGCATGGGCGAGGGACACGAGGGTGGTCAACGAGCCAGCGCAGCGCGGGTCGGCACTCATGACCTACTCGCGGTCACCGCTGCCAGGTTCTGGACGTCGATGGAGGGCTTTGATGCGATGGCGAGGGGGAAAAGGGTGGATTGCAGCTGGAGGATGGGGTGGGGAGCGAGTGACGGCGAGGAGGGAAGGCAAGGGGAGCGAGGGCCAGACCTCTGCCCCCTTTGACGGCATTTGCGGGCGGGCCGTGGCAAAGAGGCCGGGAGGGAGGAGCTCGTCACGCCACGCCTCGGTGGAGCAGGGTAGGGCACGGCGAGGCTGGGCGAGGCCAGGCCAGGCAGGCCAAAGCGCCAGCCTCGACTCCACAGACGCAAGCGCGCTCCACAGCTGGCCAGTCTCTCTCGCCGGGGCCTGGCTGCCTGGCTGCGTGCGTGCGTGAGTGCGTGTCCGTTCGGAGGTCCAACGTCGAGCTGACTGGGCTGTCCTCGCCCGGTGACTTTGTCCCCCGCCTTGCCTGTCTATGCATGCATCCGATCTTGCTCGTCGTGCCGGTCTGCTCGCACGCACCCGCCAGCTGTCAGCTCGTACAATCGGCCCAGCCTGGCGCTGCTCGACCCCTGGCCTCCGGCGTGACCAAAGGCGGACACGCCGGCCAGGCGGCGAAGAGCGCCACCTTGCGTTAGCCTAGCCATCCCTTCCGTATCTGCTCCGAGCGGGCCAGGATCATGAGCCAGCTCGGTCCGGTCTGTGGGGTAGGTTGGCATCCATTGCATCGTCCCTGCCGGCTTCCTCACTGAAGTGGCAGCGCAGCGCAACGCGTACGCGCGCACGCACGCCACGCTACGCCGCCCCGCCTCGTTGCAGCTGCAGCTGCAGATACGAGACATGACGACGCGCTAGAGTCTGGCCCAGAGTGCAGCCCAGCCTCGGATCGATCCTGAGCGGCGTGCATCAAGGGCAGACCGGCCGGTTTCGACCTCGACCCTGCCTCGACACCACCTCGACACCATCGTCTGCGCAACTTTTCGGGGTTCGGCACGATGGCGGGTAGCGCGCTGTGCTCGACCTGGGCGGTCCTGATCAGCTCGCCTTAGCTTGCCTAGCCTGGCCCCACTCGCTTTCACGTCGCTGATCTACAAGTGGGTTCAGAGCGGTCTGGCGCTCGAACCCGACCGAGCGTGATGGCGGCTGCATTCGACAAGGCTGGACAGGCTCGCAAGGCTCCATCGCGGACCAGGCGACGACGAGCGAGCATACGCATGTGTGGGAGCCGGCTTGCGCCCGCGACCCTCTGCTTGCCTCGGATGCATGCTCGTCTTGCCTCGTCCAAGGCGCCGCGCATAGAGGCCGGTTGCGACCAGGCGGCCCGAGTCCTGCTGGCATGCCATCGTGCTTCCCAGACTGGCGTAGACGGAGGTCTATACGAGCGGGAGGGCTGCATTTGGCCCCCGTTGGCTTGACTCCGCCAGCATACCGAGCACCAGATCGAGGCTATGGGCGGCTTCAGCTTGGCAGGATCGTGCGGCACGGTGACGGGTTGTTGGATCTGCCTGCTTGACGATGGACCACAGAGGGACGTACAGCCAAGCAAGAAGGCGAGGGGTCGGAGGCCAAGATGAGCACGCACGCACGCACGCCCGCACGCACGTCGAGGAGATGTCCACGAGCGCCTCGATCCGAAACGAAGCCGTACGCGAGGGCGCCATTCGGCCCGTCAGCGCCCCCGATACGATATGATGCAAGCTAGCAAGGCGAGCTGGCACCGCCTGCATGGAAGCGATTGCCAGGCGGCGGGCCAGGCAGGCCAGGCAGATTTGGTTAGGTCGGGCGCACGTACATGCAGCTGCAGGTTGGTGCTCGTCCCTGCCCTCCGTGCCCGTGCGTGCGAAAGCAAGCAGGCCCGGACTGGCTCGCGTAGGGCATCAGCGTGAGGAACGAGCAGGAGCCCGCGCAGGCAGCTTCCCCGACCGAAGGGGCTAGGATGCGAACAGAACGACGAGACGATCCCGAGCGGGCAGACGAGACGAGGAAGAAGTTGCCGAGCGAGGTCCTCTGCAGGCGCGCGGGTTGGACGTACGCCCAGCTCCTTGTCAAGCGGAACCGTACGCATGCCCATGCCGGCGTCAGGTCGGCGGGAGGCCAGTCGGTCCGACGATTGAGCTGGCTTCGTCTGCCCGGCCCGCCCGCGTCAGAGGTGGCCTCGACATCGAGCTCGAGCTCGAGCACCTTGCCTTGCTTGAACAGGACAGGCCATGCCTCGCATCGCCTCGCCTGGAGTGGGCAGGGCGTCCTTTCCTCGACGGCGTGCCTCGACCTCTGCAGATACAAATACGGGGCAGTGTGGGCCTGCTGTCCCTTTTCGCCCTCTTTCCACTCTCCAGCATTTCCTCAGGCCGCCGTATCAATCGCCCACAAGCTTGCTTCTACCTCGTCGTTCGTCGGCATCCCAAGCATCTCCGCAGCCCTGCTAAAAGTGAGCAGCGCTCCTGGCAGCATCACCGACCACCTGCCCTCTTGCCTGACGACCCGCCTCCTCTTGTCGGTACCCTCTCAGCCTCCCCCGCTCAGTTTGCACCCGGCGTACGTTGCGCGCTCGTACTCACTACTCTGGCCCCGCTCGCCGACTCTTCAGGTAGGCACCTGCGCTCTGGTCGGCTCACGTCGCTTTCGCGCCCTCGCAGCAGTTGGCTGACACTGTTCTGACGCCCACTCTCTGCAGGCAAACCCGGCGCGACGCATGGCTATAGAAGCAGACGCAGCGAGCACCACCAAGATGTCGAACTCCGAATCGCCGTCGTCGACAGAGATGCCGGTGTCGGACAACCGCGCGCTGTGCGTCGTGCACGCGACGGAAGACTACCGCCGGCTCGAGGTGGTCCTGAGCCCGCTGGGCGAGGCCGTCTTGCAGGCCATGACGCATCGCAAGCCCGGACTGTCTGAGCTGTTCATCGAGGGCATCACCGAGGCCTTTGGCGCCGGCGACATCCGCCTCGGCGTCATGGGAGGGGACACGGTGAGCGAGCTCAGGGGACAGGTGGCGGCGCTGTCCAAGCAGCTCGAGGAGCTCAAGCTCAGCATCTCGGACGCAGAGACCCAGGAGCAGAGCTTCGACCACGACAACTCGTACGACGAATCCAACAGGCTCGACCAGGGCCAGTCCTTTCGCGACACTTCTGGCGACGCCTGAACGCACCTCGACGTCCGCGGCCGCGGTCGCGGTCGAGATGGACGGCTCCGCTTTCCCCCTGCCGCTGTCATCTCCCACCTCGTTTGGCCGCCCGTCGGCCTCGTTCTGCACCGCACCCTCGCACTCGTTTGTCATCGACACGTCGTCGCCTTGAGCCTCGTCTCCACGCTCGCAGGTCTCTGCCGCTGTCGTGCAATCGAGGTGGTCTTGCCTTTTGCCCGGTGCGCTGAGCAGTGGCGTCCGTATAGATACGGCACATCAGGGCACGGAGCAGGTCACCCAGGCTAACGGACAGTAGTGATAAGCAGGCGGGATCATGGATCGAGCGTCGACGATCCTTGTCGACGAGGCGGGCGGCGCTCAAGCAAAGGTCACAACTGCGGTGGCCGCGGCCATGTCTTGGATAAGAGCAGACACCAAGGGCCAGGTGGAAGCGTAACGATGGTAGCGGCTGGCAGGGATGGCATCTGCGGCGGTGCCAGGGTCGGGGGTGGTGGTCGAGGTCGAGGAAGGTAGAGACTCCCTGGCTCTGTTGGCGCGGCGCTCTGGCTACTATGCCGGCCGAGAGAGGGCGAGGGGCCAAGGCAGGGTCGAGGGTCGAGGCTCGGGGCTCGGCGAAACGTGCAGATTTGGCGGCAGCGGGCAGCGGCGGCCGAGCGACTAAGGCTCGTAAGACTGCCCGCCTGCCAGCCTGCCTGCCAACCCGCCCGGCCGCCTCCTCACCACCATCCCAACGCCGACACCACCCGCCCCCGCCCGAGGCGGGCTCCATTGTTCGTTTCTGCGCCTCTGCCACGTAACGTACCTACTCGCGTCCTGCCGGAGGTCCGCCGTCGTCCTTTCCTGCTCGACGGCATCCCAAGCCAGGGGACCGGTGCCCCTTTGGTCTCTCTCTTTCACTCCACACCACCACGCCACACCACACCACTACCGCCTGCTCCTCTCGACTCGACCACATCGTGCCCAACGGATCTCCGCCTCAACGCCACTCGCCGACAGGAAAGCGGACAGCATCGACTGCGCCCATCGTTCCGCCACCTACGACGAGGCTGATCGCCCCTCTCCTGGGACCAGGACCGGATACCTGCCAGACCGCCGGCCCGCGCTCGCTCCTGCACCTCCTCGTCGACCCTCGCCTCGCCACATAGACCTCGTCCTCACCACCGACCGCCGGCGGCGCTAGTCGGCAGCGTGCCGGGGCACACGACCGCCTTTGCTCTGTCTGCACAGGATCTCGCTTGGTCGTCTCGACGGCTTCCCTCCTTCTAGCACTCGTCCCGCTCTACCCCTGGCTCCTCCGGAACACGTGCCACCACCCGCGCTCGACGATGACGTTCCGCCTGGCCTGCGCCTGGCTTGCCTGCCTCGCCTGCCTCTTGGCGCTCCAGGCTCGGGCGCTCGAGCAGGACGTCGACACCGACGGCAGCGCCGTCAACCCGGCCATTTCGAGCACCGGCAGCTCCGGCTACGGCTGGACCGCCCTTCCCACCGTCGCGGGCGCGCGCATCGACAACAAGACCGTCGTCGTCGGCGAGAACGCCACGCTGCTCCACTACATCGACGCCGACTACGACCCGCAGAAGATCAAGCGCGTCGTCATCCAGGTGCACGGCGACAGCCGCGACGCCTGGAACCAGTGGCTCTACGCCGACCTCGCCGCCAAGAGGGCCGCCCAGGGCGGCACCGTCAAGCGCGAAGAGGTCCTCGTCGTCGCCCCCGAGTTTTTCGAAAAGATCGACCTGGGCGCCTACCCCTTCATCGCCCAACCCCGCCTCAAGGAAGAGGCGCCGCCGCCGGCGCCGGCCAGCGGCAGCGTTACCGATCTCCTGCCCACCGCCGCCGCCACATCGCCCGCGCGCAACGCCAACGCCGCCGCCAAGGCGACCCGGTCGGCATCCAACATCAGCCTCGCACCGCGCTCCGCGGCCCCTCCCGCCGAGCCCCTCCTCTCTGCGGCAGCATCGCCGCCTGCGGGCCACTCGCACGCGTCTTCGCCGGGACCGGGCCCGGCACCATCGCCCGCCAACCGCACCGAGGTGCTGCTGCCCCCGGACCCGCGCGCCATCATCGTCAGCGACACGACCGAGTACTTTAGCGCCTCGCAGGCCATGATCTTTGACGGCACCAGCTGGGGCGACGGCTCACCCGCCCTCAACCCGCTCGGCAACGGCGCCATCGGCGCGTTCGAGGCGCTCGACGAGCTGCTCGCCTACTTTCTCGACGAGTCGCGCTTCCCGGCCCTCAACCGCGTCGTGCTGGCCGGCTTCAGCCTTGGCGGCCAGCTGGTCCAGCGCTACGCCGCCTTCCGCCCGGACACGTCCGACGACGCGCGCACCACGTTCTGGGTCAGCAGCCCCAACTCGTTTGTCTACTTTAACGACACCCGCCCGCTCAAGCCCAAAAAGGCGTGCAGGAACACGTACAACGACTACAAGTACGGCCTCGAGGGCGAGCTGCCGCCCTTCGTCACGAGCCGCACCGCGTCGCCCGACGCCATCGTCGAGCGCTTCATGGGCCGCGACCTCGTCTACCTCTGCGGCGTGCGCGACAAGATGCCCGGCTCCGACGACTGCCCCTCGAACACCCAGGGCTCCCACCACGTCTCCAAGATGGTCTACTGGACCGAGCGCGTCGTGCCGTACCTCGCCGGCGCGCCGGGCAACGGCACCCTCCCCGCCAAGAGCAGCGTCTACTGGATCGCAAAGACGGGACACGAGGACTGGAAGATCATCACGTCCGACCCGGGCGTCTACTCTCTCTTCCTCCAGCGCTACAACGACGACGGCACCGACGCCGCCGCTCCGCCCAGCAACGGCGTCACCGCCACAGACTCGCCCACCGACGCCGACAACGGCGCCCTTGCGGGAATCGCCGCGCCCAGCCGCGCCGCACTGCTCGTCCTGGCGCTCGTCGCCAGCGCGCTCGTCGTCGCATGACCGCCGGCTCCGGCTCTGGCCCTTGCCCGTGCCCCTCGTTCCTCTCTCGATAGACTCGTCACGCTTTCTGCTCCACTGCTCGCATGCCTCGCCAGGCGCCCCATCCGCCGTCACTAGCCGTAGCCCTCTTTTCGGACATTCCGTGCGGGATCACTCACGTTCTTCTTCGGAACCTCGCCCTCGCCCTCGGCCCATCTCTCTGCCTCTCTTTCTGTTCTAGCTGACACCGTCCACTCCTCCTGTTTACGGATTTCCTCGGCCTTTGGCCCCCGTCTTCGCCACGTCGCAGCGCAAGGCTCGACGAGCGCTTTGGATTGTACATAGCTCGTTTCCCTCCTTTCCGACATTGTAGCAGTAGCAGCATTAGAGTGTGTGCTTTCACCTCACCCACAGCGAGAGTGTGCCACCGGTGCCCCACTCGAGAGCGGCAGCACGGAGGAAGTGGTAGGCCGAAACGGCGGCCCCCCGTTTGGTGGTGTCGAATCACAGCCGATGTGGCGAGGATCGCTTTGCTCTGACCATCAGACGAGGCGGACTGTCACAAGTTGATCGATGGATGAGTTGACAAGACCGGCCATTGAGATTGGGACCACGAGAGCTGCAGCCGCGCCAAAGTTGCCAGCAATCCGGTCCCTTCAACATCAAGCTTCAACAGGGTGATGCAGCAGCCTGACTGCAGCAGTGCATCAGCGCGGCATCATCACCTTGCCCTTTTTCAAGCTCATTCATGTACAGCTCTGAGGAAGATCAACTGACTGATCATCGACTGCTTGGAGTGCAAGTAGCTGCTCAAGCAGCAGTTGTTGCAGCAGAAAGAAGGAACACCATGCAGGTTTGAAACAGAGACCTCGGAACAGCTGCCTTGATGCAGGCTGTGCCAACATCATGCTTGTGGCAGGCATGTGGACAGAGCACACTTCAAGACTGCAGCACTGCAACTGCTGCCTTGTCACAAGGGTCAAGCTCCTTCAGTTCAGCATGCTAGAGGAAGGACAGGTGGCTGAGGCCTTTGAAAGAGCAAGGGACATCTGCGATGGAGCCGCCTCTCAAGACTGGCAAGCAAGAAACGACCGATGAGTCATGCTCCATTACCTGACTGTAAGCAGATGGGCTCGCTTCAGGTTCGCTGACGTCTCTCCTTGACAACATCCTCCCGCAGCTGTATCAAGGATCTTCGTGAGTTCTATGCCACGATTCTGCACTGGCAGCAAGTCCATCAGAAGGGCTCGCTGCCCCACCCAACGCAGTGCGATGCCTGGGAAGGTGACTGCCAAGCCAAATGGCACTCCTGCATATGATGCAGCAAGCACAATGTCTGCTGCAATGACTTTGCTGAGTCAAAGGAGTTGAACTAATGGTGTTGATGGGCCCAGCCAAGCTCTGCTTGGCCAAATAAGCATGCCAGCATGACTTTGGCTGCCACATGCACTCGAGCCTGCTCAAATCAATGCCCTCTATGAGACAAGCAATACAAAGCCCTGATTCTGCTCCACCACCACATACATACAGGCCAATCCATTTGACAGCTAACTAAGCAAATCTAGCGTACATCAATTGCAATCTTGTAGCCCAGGTGCACAGAGAGAGAGAGAGAGAGAGAGAGAGAGGGTGAGAAGAGCGAAGGGATGAAAGAGGGTTGTCCAAGGCAGCTCTTCAACGAGGCGCGCAATCCGACCCGTGCCACCCTCGAGATGCTGTCGAGGATCGTCGCGGTGTTCGAGGAGCTGGAGCGAGCCGGGCAGGTCGACCGCCCATCTCTCGTCTTCGCTCGAATTCGGCATTCCCTAGCCTCTGATGGAGCGGACGGGACGATGTAGAACAGGTGGGTATCATACGCTATGTTCTCATCCTCAGTGTCAATTTCATTCGAGTGCAATTAAGCGCGACTCGAAGCTGCATCCACGCTCGTCATCGGATCCACGCAACGCATGGTGGTCGGCCTCTTGGTGTACCTCGCGACCCATGTCAGATGTGTTTTGGGCTTGGGATTCGGCGTCTTGGGCCCATACCGCCCGCTGAGCGCCTCGCTGGGCCATTGCGACCACTTGAGTGTCGGCGGCGTGCTCTCGGATCTGCGGTGTGTCGGCAGCCGGAAGTAGTGCCGGCCCGAGCCGGGGCAGCCGATGCGCCAGTGTCGCGCACGCAGGTTATCGTAGCGGTCGTGATAGCCCTGGTTGCGCATGGGCGAGGATGAGGTTGCCGACACTCTGAGAACATCAATGTCTGGGTGAGGGTACCGGCCGTAGCAGTACATGCGGCCATGACAAAAGTTGTCGCGCTCCGGTGGCGTGGTCCGATTCTCGATGCCGCTCCCAGCCTGCATGGACCTTTTCGTCCAGCGACTCTCTACGAGGCGCTCGCTGCAGGTGGTTCATAGAACTGGCTGTGCTTGCTTCTACGCATTGGATAAGTAGCCTGGAGAGCGGCCCGAGGGGGTACGAGGCGGAATGAGGCAGTACGAGAGCTTCCTGTCGCGGCGGCAATTTACAGGCGCGTCGACGAAATCATCGTGGCAGATAGACATCGACCGAGCTGTTGGCTTTTCGAAAGCCCCGATGCGTCATCCGAACACGAGCAGTTCGAGCCGATGCACAGGCAATGTCGTGCGTCCATGTCACGAACAAGCTTTCATTGACGGAATGCGCGATATCAGGTAAAGGGACACGCGAGCGAGAACAGCATCGGACGCGTTTAGCTGTTGATCTGCGGCGTGAGAAGCAGGCAAAGTCGAAATGATGGAAGGCAAAGCGTAAGCGGATGATCTCGACAAGCTGCGAAAGTGGAATGGACCGGCGGAAAGGACTCACCTCCTTCTGGGCCTTGCCCTTCTCCTCCTGCGCCTTGCCGGCGGCCTGCTTCGAGTCCTGTAGCGCGTCGAGGTGTCCAATGTGAAGGTGAGCCGGGAGAGATTCGAGGTCAGTTTTCGGGGCTTATCGAGCGAGAATGCGTGCAAAACATGTGAAAATGCTCACGTTTCCAGTTACGGCACCGACGATGTTGTCTTTCTTGCCAGAAATCTGGTCTCCGAGACCCTCTGCGTACCCTTTTGCCTCTGCCGCCTTGATCTCTGACTCGCCCTTGGCATGCTGTTCCTTGCCTGTGGCCTGCCAGTCCGTGGAACCCGTCAGATTGCCAATCGTCTCCTTGACGGTGCCCGCAACGCTGTTGTAGTTGCTGTGGACATAGGGGAGGTCGAGGGTATGGATGGTCCGGGTCAGCGAAATCGCGTCGAAGTGCAACGCGGCCGCGCCAAGCGTAACAAAAGCACATACCCGTTAGCCTTGGAGGGTTCAGCCATTGTGTCTAAGTGTTCGTTGGTTGGTTTGTAAAGAGTAGTGTGTGTGTGTGTGCAGTGTGGATGAGGGATATCGTCGGGACGAGGTCGAGGAGGAGGGGGGTATATATATCTTTTTTGGGGCGCGCCCGCTGGGAGCGCGGCTGATACGGAGCCGGGTCGCCGAGCAACTCGGCATGTAGCCCCTGAGCGTGGGACTTGAGCTGGCACAACGTCGTCGTCATCGCATACCACATCGGACGGGGGTGCCATTGCCTGTTTGAGCTGGCCGAGCGTGACCTCGCACTGCGTGAAAGCGGAGCGGCGGCGGCGAAGGGGCGCACAAGCCAGCGTTCCCCGCTCGCATCTGCCATTCCCATTCCAGCGCACGGCCGGCGTGGAACAGAGTCAGGTCCAGACCCTGTTCGTCGTCGTCTTTGTCGTGGTCGTTGCTCGCCCGCGGTCGCGGGCACCCGTCGACCCTCGACGGACGGGGGGACTGTAGGTTCGCGACCTCGGCGCGGCTGTCTGTCGAAAATGGCCGAGGCGAGTGATGTCATTTTCCCGCGACTGACGTCGGCTAAACCGCGGGCATGAACCAGATCCCGGACACAGGAACAGGCCCAGCCGATGTACGGCGTCGGGCGGCTATGGCACGTACGCGGCCGGCCGGCCGAAGCAAGGTACCAGGCTAGGCTAGGGACCAGCAGGGACCAGGACCCTGCCCCAGCCAACCCCTGGGCCTGCCTGCAGTCCATCGAGGGTCGCCCCGGCCAGGTCACGTTGGCCTCGACCGGCCAGGCCGGTGGATGCCGGCTTCGCCCGCAAATAGAATTCCACGTCCCATCGAGGCGCAGATGACGTATCGGTGGCTTAGATTGTCGATCCGCCAAGCGCAGGCAGGCGAGCGAGCGAGCGAGGCGATGCAAAGGCCAAGCAAGGCAAGGCCGGGGATGATTCCTATGGCGTCAGGGGTACATACGTCCTCTGAGTGCGAAAAGCGGTACCACATCCATCTGTTGCCCCGTTGTGGCGGTCACACTGTTTGCCACCGAGGCCACGACCCTTCCCCGCTACTGTATCGGGCGTCGTCGAACCCCGACGGAGCAGCATGTCCCGTGCACATCCAGGCCTGTCTTCGCTGCTGTTGGCGCGCACGGTGCAGCATCGCTGCGCTGCACACCATCGGTCGGGCGGTCGCTGCCCTCGGTGATCCCCAGGGCCTGCCTGCAAGCAAGCGTCGATGGTCCCCGTCGAGCGTCGGAATTGTCCGGCGCCACAGGCCCACAGCCCGTTCCTTGCCGGCCTCCCGCCTCGCCTCGTCCATCCACGTCGCTCGAGGCTGAATCATCGTGGCGCTGCCGCACGTGGTGATCCGCGCTACCGGTAATCGCTCGCACGCACACGTTGCACAGCCATGGTGGTCATCTCACATCGAACACGGTAGAAGGCCGACCAGGCGGTCGTGGATCGTCCCAAGGTCCGTTGCATGTCGAGCACGGCCTGACCTGGCAGCGCAGCTCAATCTCGGTCTCGCGGCGCCACGTAGACGCCATCGGCAAAGAAGGCAGCGAGGTACCGCGCCTCGCTCTCCATCTGCGCTCGGGTCCGCGGCTTGCGCACCTCGTCGGCGTCTACACCGCGGCCATCCTCCGTCTTGACCCCATCGCCGTCGCCGTCGCCATCGCCTCGGCCCCGGTCGAACCCCCACGCCTCGAGATGCTCGTACACCCGGTCGTTTTCCACGAAATCGCCCGTGCGCCTCGGGAGGACGTGAACGTGGAGGTGCGCGACAGTCTGGCCGGCGGCCTGGCCATCCTGCACGCTGATCGTCACGGCCTCGGCGCCAAAGACGTCTTCGAGCGCGGTGGCCACTTGCTGCACAGCCGTAAACAGGAGGCCGACGAGGTGCGGCGGTACCTCCTTCAGACGGTGGTAGGGTACCGTGGGGATCACGAGGACGTGGCCCGGTACGATGGGTTTCAGGTTGACCAGACCGACAATCTGACCGCACGACGATCGGTAAAAGACTTGCGAGGTCACGTCGAAGCTCGAAAAGCGCACCGTGTCGTTGCTGGTGTTGGTGTTGGTGTCGGTGTTGCTATGGGTGCCGGTGTTGCTGTGGGTGCCGGTGTGATGGGACGACATCGTGGTCATGCAGCGCGACTGGGGGCGAGGATGGATCGAGCCGTCGACGAAAGCGGCAGAGGCAAGATGGGATCCGAACCGGCCGGCGTGTTGCTGCGCGCGGGCGAGGTTCGGCGTCGAGCTGCTTGCAACGTAGATCGACGACGACGACGACGACGACAACGACGATGCCAAGGAAAGAGTACGACGCAGTCTCAGTGCCGATCTCGGGATCATGAGTGAGGGTAGGGCTCTGGCTCTGCGCGGTACTGAAGCTCGTCCAGCGATGCGGGCGAGGGGGAGACGGGATGGGAAACCAACCACCAGGACCCAAAGAGGTCCGCGCCACCGAGCGTCGAAACGGTCCCCGCAATCCGGTCGGTCGGCCCTCGAATCCTCCTTAAAATTGCCGATTTTATTCGGCTGCGACGCGCCCAGCTCCGCGCCCTCTGAGCCCACCCTCTCGCCACGCCTGGCTGAAGATTGCTGCCCAGCTGAGGGAGCAGCAACTGCAGCACCATCTCACGAGCTCAACACATACTCCTTTTTCGACCTGCTTTCGGGAGGGTGCCGCCCTCGATTCGTGACCCCCCGCGCCGGTTTCGAGACCATCCCTGACCCATTCGGGACTCCTGCCAATCACCTTTTGGGAGGCACACCCTGCAATTCGAGGTCTTTTGGAACCAGTGTTCGTGAGACCCCTGCAGTTCGTGATGAAGCAGGCCATTCGGGAACTGACTGAAGATACGGTGAAGTCCTCTGCTGACAGCTCCTAGAGCGAATAGCTCCCGAATAGCTCACGAAGTGCTAAAAGGTCACGAATTGCCAACTTGCCACATCACGGATTCACCTGAAGGGATCCCGAAAAGAAAGTGCCACATTCTACGAATCCCCCTGGTCTCCCGAAAACTGTCTCGAACCCCCCGCGGGCGTCACGAATCGAGGCCGGCACCCTCCCGAAAGCAGGTCGAAAAAGGAGTATCTGCCCTGTCTGCCGTGCATATTCACACCACGTGCACCTTCGTTCCAAGCTGTGCCGATAGCGCGAGGGACAGCGACGCGCCCCACACAGATGATCCAGTCAACGGGTTGTCAAACGACTGACTGCATTTCTTACTAGGCAAGACGAGAGACGATAGCAGAGAGGTACGGGTTGACGGCAGAGCACGGGACAGGGCAGTAGCAAGCGGGGGCGGAGCCAGGTATACGGAGCGAGGGGGCAACGGAGCGGTGTTCGTACACGGCGGGCGACTCGGGCTACGCCTTGTTGGGGCTGACGACGGCCTTGAGCTTGGAGCCCATGCTAAACGTCTTCTTCTTGATCGAGCCGCCCGTCTTGCTCATCTTGGACCCGGCGCCGGCGCCGGCGTCGTCGTGCACGGCCGTGGCCGACGTGTCGGTCGAGTCGACGTCCTGGGTCGTGATGGACGCGGCGCCGCCGTTGGCCTTCTTTTCCGCGTCGCGCTTGTCGTCCTTGGCCAGGGCGGCCTCGATGGCCTTGGCGGCGTGGGCGTCGTGCTGCTGCACCTTGTCCGTGTCGGCATCGACGGCGCGCCTGGCGGCGTCCTTGGGCGCCTCGGTCACCTCGTGGAACTCC